GGTGGTGGTTCGTGGGCGTTGGAATGTGCGCTCCTGTCCCGGGCTGGTGGTCTGGCGTTGGGGGCCCAGGGATGAGGGGGGTGAAGGTTTTTTGATGGGGGGTTGGAATGGCCAATGGAGATCAATTTGGTGGTCTTGATGTGTTGGTAGTTGTGAATACCCCGCGTCTTGTCTTGGGTGCCAGGTGACGAAAAGACGAGGAGGAAGGAGGGAATGGAGAGCAAGTTGAGCATCGAGGCAGGCACAGATGTGAGGCAGCAAGTACGAGAGTGCCGCCGTGGGAAGGAGCGCCTTTCCTTAAGGACCCCCGAAATGCCCGTGGCTGGGCCGCCCGGGCTGTGACGAGGGGGGGGGGGGGCTGGTGGACGTGTGGTCCAATGACGTCGTAAGTAAACATGTCTCTGTATCCCAGCAACCAGCCACGCTCATCGCACTTTCACAAACGCGGCTTAGGTCAGCACCAAACCATCGTTCCGTCCCGCAACCGCCCAGGCTGGGCCCTGTCAGTTTCACATGTGCGACACCCCAGGCCAGCCCACCCATCGCCTCCACTCTCAACGTCAGTCAGTCAATGCGAACACGAGAGACGACAAGCCAGCGAAATGGGCCGGCAACGTCCACACGCGCCATTCATTTGCTTATTGCCTTTCTCTGTCGGAAACGAGAAATGTCACAAGAGCCATACAAAAACAACTGAGCGAAATGATGCCTTTTCAATTCGAGCCCGTCCCACCTGTGGCGGTCAGGACGCCCTTTGCTCTGATGTCTCCAGTATTCGGTCTTTGATCGTAGTGTACCACTGGTCATCTTCTCTCCGTGGTCTTTCCATCCCATCAGCTGTTCTGCTGCTGGATATACTGTACCAGGCGGGACAACCAGCTGCCAAACGAAAACCTGCCCATCGCTGAGCCGTCGAGGTGCGAACCCCACGGCCCATCCTTACATGACGTTGTCTAACATAGATGAAAAATAGAAATAAAAAGCGAAGAACAGTCCTGCCTTCCCAGTCCCTGGCATCGGCCTTCTCAACACCAAAGAGGTCGGTAGATCGAGCAGGCCGTTGTACGACCTATTTCCTCGATGGCCTCATGCCCAAGAACGCCCCTTCACCAAGGTTGAGTGTTTTAGTGAACAAACGCCGAGGGAAAAGGTGAGGGGGAAAGGGGGCGCGTTTTACAAATGGTGTTGGGAGAGGGCTTGCTCCTTTCCATGAGCAAGACCAGTCTCGCCCAGGGGTTTGCCAGCCCTCCATCCATACAAGAACTGCCCAGAAAGTATACATGCTTGGTCCTACTATCGAGACAAAAGTTGAGAAAGACCCCGGAGAGAAAAGGAGAACAAATGTGAGAAGAAAGTGGCTCTCTGCCCAAGACACATGTCCATGCTTCCCTCTTGCAAAGGCTTCCCATGTTCCAATATCAGTCTGGGTTGCCATGCTCCAATGACAGCTTCAGCGAGTCAAAGAGATCGAAGAAAAGGAAGAACTGGGGAAAATAAGAAACGGAAGAGGTATAGAGCCGACAACTTGGTGTGGAGTGTGAAAACGCAATAGCCCAAGGAAAAAGTAAATGCAAACGCTCGCGAGCCATGAGATGAGCCGCACAAAGGAAACGCCTTCGCTTGCCATCCATCATCCGTCATCCATCATTCATCATCCATCTGTCCACTTCATTACATCATGATACTCGTCGTCATACCTTAGAAGAATGGCGGCCGGCCGTAGGCTTCATACGATGGGCTGCGACCATAGATCGAAGACGGCGCCTGGCTGGACGCGCGAGCCCGGATGGGCAGTCGCTCGAGCCGGGCCGCGACGCTGGTCTTCGCCGTAAATGGTGCTCGCTCGATCGCTACCGCCGCCGCCGGCACGGGAACCTCCACCGCCCTGCTGGGTGATGTTGATTTCTCCGCCATCCTCGCAGTGGATCTCAGCACCCCCCACCTTGAGCGTCGCCGAGCCCGTCACCTTGATCGTGAAGTCATCGTCGCCCTGGCCAGCCGAAGACCGAGTTGTACGTGTCGTGTTGCTCTGCCGGTTATCGCTCTCGTCCCGGCTCTCGCTACTGCGTGTAGAGCGGCTGCTCTTGTCGCTGTTGCGCTTGCCGGCCTTGCGAAGTGTCTCGGCCGTCAGGGGCAGAGTGGCACCACCGTTGATGTCGTCCTGGTAGGCTGCTGCTGCGCGAACCTGGTCTTCGTAGTCGAAACTGCCGGCACTGCTGCCATAGTACGAATGACGCCGACCAGAGCTGGCGGCAGGCTCAATGCGGTAGGGAATGCCGCCCTCGATCGCAGCGCTCTCGCGTCGCTTGCTTCGCGACAGTTGGGCACCTTCGCCATGGCCGTAGCTGAAAGAGCGCGAGGGGGCAATCTCCCGGTACAGAATATCCTCGCCATCAAAATCTCCGTCGTCGAAGCCGCCATAGTCGATGGCTCGTCGGGGCTGTACGGGAGGTGCGGACGGGGGAGGTGGGCCTCGAATGGCGGCCCGTCTAGGACCTGTAGTGACGGGACGAGGAGGGGGAGGCATACGCCGCCTGTCCTCCTCCACACTGTACTTCTTCAGCGAAGGCCGTCGAACTAGGCTGATGTCGTTCTCCTGCTCATACTCCTCATATGGATACATTGGAGCTGGGTCGAAAGGCTGCCCGGCGGACACGTTCGGACGATGACCACTTGCAGATGAAGGCCGCTGGAAACGCTGCGCGAGATGTTGGTGTTGGGGACCACCCATAGCGCTGCCTCCAAAGTAGTCGACTTGGGGCGCCGCCGACGGAGGCGGGTATGGCGCAGGGCTGGAACCGTAAGAAGGCGCGGGATAGAGTGGAGGGGGGGCAACACCACCAGGGTGTTGAGACCACCACTGAGTGTTGGAAGTGGGCGGTCGAGAGCCGGCTCCGTAGTAGCTGCTGGGGCGAGAGGCTGTCATGGCACGGGGCCGGTGAGAAGTTGACGGGCTCACGCCATAGAAGGCAGCATCGTCATTGCCGCCAGTCGGTCGCCTGTAGGCATCTTGCGATTGCGAATGCGAGTGGAGGATGGGAGCAGGGGCCGTCTTCGAATGCTTAGTCGGGGGACGAACGCTAGCCTTCCTGGCAGCTCGCTCGGCCTCGCGCTCAAGGTCCCTCCTGCGCTCCCGTTCCCGCTCCTTTGCTTTGTCCTTCTCTTTGGCGCGCTCCTTTTCCTTGGCTCTGTATCTCGCCTCCTTGTCCTTCTTGGAGGGGCCGATTGCGTGAACGGTTGAGTCAGAGTCGGTCAAGGCGTTGTGTGGTGAAGAAGAGCCCGAGCCCGATTGAGGGCGGAGCGAGGGCCGGTGTTTGCGGGACTTGCTCGTGTTGGAGCGCTCTTTGCTAGGGCTCGGGGCCTCGGAGACGGCATAGCGTTCAGTGCCGGCAATGACGGAGCCTGTATCGTCGTTGGCCTCCTCAACGTACGAGACGCGGTGGTGTTTGGTGGGCGACCTGTTGCTCATGGCGGGCAATATTTTGTCGGGTCGCAACTCGAGAGCAGCCACTGAGGGATGGTGCCAGTCGATGTTGGTGCGAGAGAGGCGGAGAAGCCTCTGAAAGAGGCGGGGCACGTCGGAAGAGTCGCAGTATCGCCAGTGTCTGTCTTGGGTGGTATGGGACAATTGTAGTAAAAATCGCAGTCTTGGGGTGGGAAGGTGGGAGCTAGGAACTTTTTGTGTGTGAGAGAAGGTAACGTTGGTTCCGCAGGTGGGGATCAGGAATATTGATGCG